GTCAATACACATTAAATCAAAATAAGAATTAAAGTAAATCAGAAGTAAATCAAAAACAATATTATTAAAAATAGTTAAAACAAAATTTAAATTATATTTAAAAGAAAACTGGCTAAAAAAAGAAATTCGTTTAATTATTTAGTAAATAATAGAGAGTATTACCAAAAAGGAAAACAATACAAATAAAAATAGTCTTATCAAAAAAATCGTCTTAATAAATTACTATATTTTGAACTTTGATTTTCTTAATTCTTTCAAATATAAAATCAAATAATGAGTAGAAAAAAGCTGATTTTTAGCATACTTGATGATGATTATGAGGAATTGTTATCAAGTCAAACTTCTAATACATCTTCTCGTAGAAGAAGAAATAGATTGATTGCTAGTTTAATTGATGAAAAATCTATTTCTACTTCAAGGCCATTACATCTCGTAATACAAGAAGTAGATTTTAAGATTCACAAAGTTCTATTTAAGATACATTTCATCAATTTGGAATTTAAGAAGAAATGGGAGAACCATCAACATCAACTTCTGCTAGGCAGAACATTGAACATGAATCTGATGATGAACATCAAGAGGATTTTGATTCTACTTTCTTACCTTGAAGACGTGTAAGAAAGTACACAAATCATCCCAAATCCGGTATAAATCCTTCTGATAATTTTGAAATCGAAGCTAATCAACCTTCAGAATCTTCTGAATTTACTACTAAAGAAGATGAAGTTATAAGTGAATCCGATGATAGTAAATCTGATGATAATAGTGATTTTGAAACATTTGAGGATTATGCATCACCAGATTATGAGCCATTTCAAGATCCACCAAGTACAGAATCAATTGATGATGACCAATTTTTGTGGATATTAATTTGGATCATATCATTTCGGACAAGATTCAACATTACAGAGTCTGCAACTGAGGCTTTGATAAAATTTATGAAATTGGTTTTGACAGAAATCGGAGGTGACAATTTCAATGACTTTCCAAATTCAATGTTCTTAATAAAGAAGATGCTTAGAATAAAAGACAGATTTTAACATTTTGTTCCTTGCTCCAAATGCCATAAACTGTACCAAAAACAGGAAGTAGTAAATTTTAGACAAGATAATATGTTAACTATAATGAAATGTCGACATGTAGAATTTCCCAATTCGTCAATTCACAAATCGCGCTTTTGCAATATACCATTATCTCAAAAAATTGCTATATCGATAAATGCAATAGTAATTTGACCTAATTTAATCTTTCCTTTTTGTGGAATATGATAACAACTAACTCATTTCCATGTATTGTCTGCTTTATTTGGAAATTAATTTGAGACATTGGGCGAATCGTCAGCATTTTGTCAATATTATAACTGACATATATGATGGTCAAGTATGGCAGACGTTAAAAGAATCTTCTGAGGATGATTCACCAAAATTTTTTCAAGATGAAATAGCCGATTCTCACCTTGGATTAATGCTGAATCTTGACTGGTTCCAGCCATATGATGGTACCGTTTATAGCATTGGAGTAATATATGCTGCTATATGCAATTTGTCACGTGATATATGATTCAAATGTGAAAATTTACTGACTCTCGATCTTTTACCCAGGCTAAGCGAAGTCAGTTTACATAAAAATTTTCACTATCTAGCACCAATCGTTGATGAATTAGAATCTCTTTGGGATGGAATAACAATAAATCAAACAAATGAATGTAAAAATGGTAAAAGGATTCATGCAGCATTAATCCTAGTTTCATGTGATATTC